TGAATTGCATCTTATACTTTATAATGTATGGAATCATAATGCTAGAACTATTTCGTAAGTAACATATATGAAATGAGTAGCATGAACTAGCATCCTCTGAAGTAAGCTCTATATGACAAATGTAGGAAAATAAACGAAACTGCACTTTTAAAAGATAAAACAACATAAAAATACTCCTTTAAGTATTCATGCATTTTCATACAATGTACATAAAATAATATTTTAAATGCGTGCAAGAAATCTTACGTGATGACAGGTATATTCGCTTATTTTGCTAATGAAATAACTGGACTGAATTAATTTTTGGTATCTCCTTGTATATATCCATTTGTTTCATAGGAAACTTTAATAAACGTATACTACTGATGTTATTCTAAGCCTAAAATAGCATATTAAATAGTTTTTGCTGAAAATTTTACACTTGTAAAATTTGAGATTTTTTTAGTCTCTACAGTTTATCCGGCAGTTTCTTAAACGATTTTGATGAATTTATAGCTTATTTAATGCCAAAGAATTGCAAATAGAAAATTTTTAAATGGTATATTACCTATACTATTATTAGAGTATTATTAGTATGATCCGATAACTACTAAGAGGCCAGTTTGTAATCTCTTTAATAAAAAATAATGAGATTATTATGCAATTTTTTCTGATAATTTGCGGTTATCCTAAATACTACTTAGTAACTGAAATTATGAAGAGTTAGGTATTATTATTATTACTTTTTTTTTACTTTTGAAAGACTGAACCCTTATTCTATTTTCTGCTTTTCACTGTTGGAAAATAAAGCACCTGTTCATGCATTAAACTGTTTTCCTTTCTTATGTTGGATCATGATAGTAAAGTACTAAGCTTTATCGCAACAGAGGTTGAGCAAAATTCGAACAAAACGAGAATTTATCACCTTAGGACATATTTCAGCCTAAAAGTGGTGAAAGTTATTGATTTCGATTGACCATAAAACCCTTTTCCTCTTCCGGAGACAAATATCTGCAGGTTTCAGGGTTAACTCCAACTGGTTTTGGAAAATATTCTAGTGAAAACTAGTGCACGGGAAAATGAAACAACTTGTAAATGAACAAAACGAAGGCACAACTTTTTTATTCATTTAAGACAATAGGCGTTTATTGAAGGGTTATTTGTCTTTTTTACACCATCGATTATGAAATAAGGGTAAATAAAACAAATCATGGACTTATCAGAATTTCAAATTTACTAGAATTAGATCATCAGTAATAATGTTTTTTACTACGGCGTTAAAAAATAAAATTTCAAAAGTACGCAATAGAATTTAGTTCAATTTATTGTCCATAATTGCACTAGAAATGTTGCGGTGGTAGAAAGATGCACATGGGTCTTCGGATTGCACGTAAATACAAAATCAGTAATAAAGTGGTTAAGATATATGTGGGATTTGGAAGGATATGTAATTGTTTTAAGCTGGATGTAAGAAATATTCTAAGATTTTTTTAATATTATTTTTTTCGAAATGTACTCTATCATTTCTAATCTAATTCAGTCCTTCGACGAATTATAGATTGATAGAAGAGTATAAACCTTCATTATATAAATAATGGAGAAAGTTAAGTAAAAAGTAATATTCCAACAGTACGTTAATCCGCATACAAAAAATTCGTGTATCTAACTGCTGTGCAGCAATAATTTACTTCATGCAAATTACTACATGTAACACATTAATGGAAATTCTAGAAGGATGGTAATGAATTCCCTTTTCTATTCGGAAGGAACTTCAGTTATGATGTAGCGAATTACTGCCTATGTAACTTTAAAACAAAAACAAGAAAAAAAAATTCTCAATACAGAGCAAAATTTATAGTTATGGTAATTCTATAAAATCGAATCTTTTTTTTTTATTTGATAATCTGGCATAATTTATTCTTGATAACTGCTGTAGTATATTACAAATTTTTTCTTTAATCGAGCGATCTAGTTCCGGATAAAAATAATGAATTGAACCAACAATATAAAACACAAGAAAAATATTTATATTTAAAAAAAAACTGCAAGAAATTTGACAAAATGTTTAATTATGTCTTAAGTTATTTACGATTTTAATGTTAAGAAATTTTAGAAGAAGACTGGAAGTATTGTTCAGAATGAATGCACATATTTTCTCAGATTTATTAGTATCATTTAATGTGTTAAATTCTAGTAGAATGCATGAGGTATTCTTCCTAACTGAGGTAGCTTTGCCAGCCGGTTATTTTGAAATCTTACTTTCTATTTTTTTTCGGGGAGGGGTGGAATGGATATTCTAATTTCATCGAGAATCAAACAGAAATCCCTTTAAAAGGTTTTTGAAATATTGCTAGAAAAGGAATTTTATATGATGAATCGTGATCATGTTAATTATACTATATAATATGTATCGCAGAATTCCCAGAGATTCCCAGATTCTTAGAGGCATGTTGAAATGCGTATCTTACATATACATGTGGTATGCGCAGAAGATTAACGTTACTGCAATGTTTTCCAGTTTTCCTAAAACATATGAACACTGTTATAGGATGGAGTTCATAAACGTTATTATCAATTAAGCAAAAATGACGACTAACTGACTTCGATTTGCTTTCCTTATTCAAAATTCGAAGATAAAATGACAAGAAATAATGTCTAACTTTTGCCATTTTGACGACATTATGACAAATTCAAGAAAATCATAAAAAGTAACAATTGTTTTAATAGTGACAAAAATAACTAACTCTATAAAAATAAATAAATAAATTTCATTTGAGCTAGAGGTGAAATTAGCGCATACATATATTTTTTATTTTTGCATTGTTGCGTAACAAATTACAATCAACGAATACAAATAATTAGTTAATGTTCTTCCTAAGATGGATGATAAAATTATGTAAAGTTCCCATTAACAAATATATTAATGTTAAAATATTAAACAAATCAAAGAAATATTGTGGATCAATGTGCAAATAACTAAATAACACATTAGTTCAAATTTCATCAGAATTTTAGCATATTTTATTAAGCAAGTGGTGTTAACATTCTTGATATTGCATAAAGCGTAACGATTTATCTCTATCTCAAGTCCATTTTGACACTTTTGTTATTACAGAATGCCCATCTCCAAGTTTATTCTCAACAATCTGGAAGTTTAATTTTGGGTAGATGACGCATTCTTCAAGAGTAGACCTTCTTCCTTGAAAATACTTTTTAATTCAGTTTTGCGTAACAAAAGAGGAATTAAAGGTCAGTAATTAGTTCTGGTACATAAAATAACGTACATAAAATATTGCGTATTTTAAACCCAGCCAGATGTATGTAACTTTTATATGGAAATGAGTTATTTCAGATTAATAGAGTAAACTACAGCTAGGAGAAAGTCAATCAAATGCATACAAATAAGGTTAATTATAAAACCTACCGACCTTGAAATCGTGTTTTCTAAAGTCTGATTTTTGTTTTTTGTTTAAGGTAGTAAAGAGTCTTCGGTATTTCCGATGCAACTATAATTAAAAACTGTACTTATTGTCTACATTTATGTACAGACACACATTTATCAGATGTGGTAATTTACGCAGTGTCCTTCAGATCTTCGGCATTCAGCAAAATTTTGTTTTCGACTGAAGACTTCTGCTATATTAAAAACATTTAAAAGCAGTTCTCATGTATCCAGATAGACGGTTTATTTTTTAAACATTTTTCGTACATGTACTGTGTTTTATAGCTTTATGCAAGTCATTATAGCTTGAAATATTTTAATGCTTTATATTTGAAGTTTTCATAAAGTTTCTAACCTGATAGTTTGAAACAAGAGCGCAATTTGTTTTTTTCTCTTTCAGTACGCTTTCTGAGCTTAGTCGCCTAAGATCAGACAGTCGCCTAAGGTCTACTCTATATTCTCTCTCCTTTCAGCATGCCTTAGTCGTGTAACGGTAGCACACTCGGCGCGTATTCAAGAGGTTCAGGTTCGAGTCATGGCGAAGATCTTGCACATTTTTCACATTTCGTGTTTCAAAATAACCTAATAACGCTACAGTGACGCCCGAACTAAAAGGTGGTGGATGATAATTCGTCACCACCTGGATTTGGCGATTGGGTCCCCTAATCCCCAATCACCCTTTAAGAGGGAGTATATAAGGTATTTTCTCCCTCCTCCCAGTATGCCTTCGGGGTGTAACAGTAGCACACTCGGTGCATAAAATTTCATGGAAGTTAGCTGAAAAAATGGGTATAGAGAACACATTTCTTTAATACACTAAAACGAAAGAGTTAAGATAACGGTAACAGATGAAACACCAGACGAAGGAAGTAACTTGACATGTGGAAAATTATTTAAAATACAAACTTACAGTGTTCTTGACCTTCTATTGTCTTAGATTGGCATTATCAAAAAATAAAACTGTTTGTGACTTTTTTTGTTTTCTTTATGGTTCATCTTTACAGTGTACGGGTGTTGCTGATTTAAAAAATATCTCGCTGTTAAATATAACAAATATAAAAAAAATATAAATTCACATGTGAAAATTAAGGTAAATTAAGGTATTTGAGCTTATTATTATTGTAACGACTATTTATTATTGCATTTATTATTGTAACGACTCTTATATCAAAATATAGAAATTTCCATGTTCTCTTAATATTGTAAATACGCTCTTCAAAAGTTTGGTTTAAACTGAGTCTTAACTAAATATCAGTGTCACTCTTTGAATATTTCTAACTATTCCTGTTTCTATTGCCTTGTGGGAGAGAAGTTTTAGTAAGTTGAAATTAATAAAATATTATTTAAAATCAACTATCGGATAAGAATGATAACCCAATCTTTCTATTATTTCAGAGAATACAACATAGTTAAAATATTAATTATGATAATATAATTAATGAATTTGTTGAAATGAAAGCCAGAAAAGTGCAATCAAAGTAAATCTTATTAAAATCTATTATAATGCATTTATTTTATTATTTTACCAAATTTAATTCATTAACGGACATAAATGCAAATTCTTGCGCAGGGCACAGAAATGGGCAATTACGATGCTGATTACAACAGTTGTATGAGACCATGTAAGCCATTTTCTAAAAATTTATGAGCACTTTTATGCACCCTCGCAAAACGTTAAGATGAAAGAATGTAACATTCGATTTCTGAAAGTAAGTAATGAAATGATAGAAGTGGATAGTTTTTTTAAAAACTTTCAGTAAGTACAAAAGATGACCCATTGTTTCAATTTTATTATCGAATACAACTAACCACCTTGTGGCAGTTACTAGAAAGGGCCTTCAAAGAAATCTGGGGCAACTATGTATACTTATTCGAACAGCATGCAATTGAATAAGTAAGAGACCTTGACAAATATAGTTTTGGACCTCTTTTCAGAGATTTGTGAGCTTCTTAACACAATACCTGTTCAATTAATTTGTAAGTGCATAGCCGCAAACGTCCTTGGACTTCCATAATAACAGCGCTCCAAGAAATGTTAACCAGATTGCAAATGCGTCACAACGTATCTGACACATTTTAAGAATGCTTGGGCGGAACCTGGAAAAAAGTATTACTTTGTTGTTTTTATTTTTAGTAGGTATATTTTAATGCTTACTGCTGGCAAATAAGAGCAAGAAAATAATAAAAATGTTTATTATGTTACTTTTTTTTATTGAGGTTTAAATGAACACTGTTAATTTTAAATTAAAAAAAATTATGAACTTAGTAATTTTTAGTCCCATAATTATTTTATTACTTGCTAATATTTATTGAATAAAGACTACTTAACTTACATAATGACTCACTAGTGTCAGAGTTAGTATAATTATTCTTTGCTTCTTACTGTAGTTTTCAACACAATGAAAATTTAGTTGCTGCGCATTTGAGTCAAGGGTTGGAAAGGTTTTAGAGTCAGAATATCTGTCAGCCTCACATTAGCATCTTCCTAACCAGCGTTTATAATACGCACCGTAAATTATCTTGAACCAGCTGAAATAGTCTAATTTGTGTGTAGTCTCATACTACATTATTGGCCCACCAGCGGCCGAGCGGTAAAATCGCTGAACACTGGTAGTTTGGTCCGAGGTTCGAATCCCGCGAACGGGCTGGCTGCATGGGCGTTTTCGTGGTTTTCCCCATGTGTAACGTGTATACGAGCCAGTTTCCCTTAGAAAGTCCTCCACGAAAGGCATCCCTCCCCTTAGGCAGATAGCCCTAGTGTGCTTTGCCGTATTCTCAATACACCAACACCATACTACATTATTTACACTGAAATTAATTTCATCTTATGTTAAATACCCCCAAGTAGTGTCTGAAGTACAAGTAATGCCTTCTGTTCATTTAAAAGTTTAACAAAAAGTTATTCTAACCGTCTTACGTGTTGATCATTGCTTCTAACTAAAGTGATCACTCGCTTCCCAGAGTAGTAGGGTCTGCAGGACATTCAGATAAGCTTCTAAACGCAGCAGAAACCTACAAGATTGCTAACACTTAAGAGCGTTCGACCTGGGTTCATATCTGGGCCCCTAACGGGCTGGCTGCATAAGGATTTTTCCTAGTTTTCTTTATATACAATATAAATAAGACAAACTTTCTGTTGAAAAGTCTTCAGAGAAGTCATCTTTCCCTTACGTAATCAATTAATCCACCAACCTTTTATATCTTTATATATTCCGTTCCTGTAATAAGGCTATAAACTGCTAAATTTTCTACTTTGAATTGTGGTTCAATCTCTTTCATAAAGCTTCAATTAATTTAGGTAAAAAAAGAATTCCCGAAAGACTTTTTTTTTTCAGTCATTGAATGGAAAAATTGATTTCCTGCTTCAACTAAGTTACTTTTAAATCACGTTTTTCATTGACTGCTAACCTGCATTTTACTAAATTGCAAAAAAATATGAGGAGAAATACTTATAATAGCATAGATTTCAACAATGGGTGAAACGATAAAAATTGGCGTCACTCCATTTGAAAATCCGGAAGTATATGCACAAATACCAGTATTCGTAAACTTTACAAATAGTGGACAAATAAATGAGTACAGATTTTTTTTCTTATAACCAAAGATTTGCAGAATCAGTTCAGGAAATGATTTTGACGGCCTTGTTGAGATACTTGCGGCCCGAAAATAAAAGGCGGAGTAGCTAACCACACCCTTAAGTATTAGAATTACCTTCACCGATAATATGGTAATATCTTCCCTCGGGTTCATAGGTCCATAGGTATTTCTAGGCATAACGAAACGTACCATGTTTAACCTTCATAAGTGAGACGGATACCTATTTGATAATTTATGGAACAATGGGAAGTTTTGGTAGCATATTTTATAAACCCTAGCCATCTTTTCATACTGTGTTAAATTTTTTCATATTCTTTGAAATTTGTAATGTAATTTTTATAGTTACGTGTTTCCTCCTTTTATCTGATAGCTGAAGTGTAGAGTTATTTACGGAAAAGTGGAAAACATTTCAATAAAGTGTGTTTCTTAGAAATTAAGTGAGTAACGTATCAGAGACATTTTTTTTCAGAATCATCTAATAAAAATAGTTACTGTTTTTGTAGATTTATATTATATTTTCAAATGATCTGTTTCTCAAATAAAACAGCATGTGTGAACTAGTTAATTCAACACTTACATAAGAAAGAAATTTTTAGACTACCTGGGATATAAGCACTGATCACGAAAGATACAGATAGTTTTTTATAAGATATCTTTGCCGATTTTCTTATTTCTAAACATTCTAAGAAAATAACTTATATTATAATAAATTAAGAAAACATAATGTGACAATTAAAGATAACGTATGAAGACAAATAATAAAAAACGTTGATTGGAAGGTAAATAAAGGAAAATGACCAATATACGGTCATCTGCATTGAAGAGTGCATTATTCTGAATTTTTAGAATGATGGTTTAGTAACATCCAGCGCTCTTGAATTACTAACAATACTTTGTAATATCACAAAATTGTTAAATGAAAACTCATAACTGTTATCGTTACGAACTTTGAAACTCATAACTGTCATCATTACGAAATCTGATCTAATACAACTGCTAAATTACAGCTATATTCTTTTCATAAAATTTTATTTTTGAAGAATATGCTAAATTCCCTATTTATTTGTGTATGTGTGGGTTTTTCATTTAATTAGGTGTCATTCCTTAATTACAGGACGGATCGGAAATGAATGGAAGAAGTATAAAAAAATTTTCTATTTCGGGAATGGAAATAGCACATTTCATCTTGGCAGATAAGTTATGTTAATGTTATCTGCGATTTAAGAGCAACGATCTCCTTTTTCTGTGACTAAAGGCTATACACCAACCGGAATTCACAAATAAATGGACTTTCGCCACAAACATATGGAATAGCTTGGGAAAACAACGCTTCTCTTCGAATGAAGAAGTTAAATATCTGCAATCTGCAGAGGGTTTATAATGCAGAGGGTCCGAAAGAAAGCGGATTAGTATGAACAAAACTTTAAAAATGGCGCTACGATGGTAGATGTATTTCGAGAATCTCGGTTTTTATGCTGAAAATCTAATAGGTGTAGTTTCTCTCTCTCTACATATGTTACTTTATTGTCTATCTAGACATGTAGTTTCATAATGTGTATGTTCTGTTTGTTTAAATTTTGAATAATTTGTAGCAATAATTTGAAAAATAATTTGTGAACATTACTTTTTGATCTTTTCTCGCACATCTTCTTAAAAGAATAATAAATCAGAAAGCAATTTATTTTATGAGTTTCTTACATCATCGCGACATTAGAAAATAAAATTAGGTTTTTAATATATGATCATAAAATTCATAAAATCTGGAAGGGGAAAAATCAAACGGTTGTGTGTATTAAGCGGGTTTTGCTCAAAAATCAGGTCAAACGAGTGGATTTAATGGAGTGTGATTTGCATAAAAATGAATAAATAAAAATAAATAAATAAATAAATAAAATAGAAATTTTTTGAGAGCGGGAAGAAGAAATTTTTAGTTCAAAATTTCATCCGTAGAGGGTTCTGTATCTCATCGACAGCAGCAATCACAGTCAGGAAAGTACTAAAAACGATACTGGATAATTTCATGTCTTGGCAGAAATACTAAATAATAATATTTAAAAATACGTATATATTCACCGATATATTTACCGATGTTATTCACCGATAATATGGTAATATTTTCCCTTGGGTCCATAGGTCCATGGGTATTTCGAGGCATAATGAAACGTATCGTGTTTAACCTACACAAGTGAGACGGATATCCATTTGATAATTTATGGAACAATGGGAAGTTTTGGTAGCATACTTTATAAACCCTAGCATACCCTAGCATTTTATAAACCCTAACTATTTCATTATATGTTAATTTTTTTCCTATTCTTTGAACTTTCTAATGTAATTTTTATAGTTACGTGTTTCCTCCTTTTATCTGATAGTTGAAGTGTAGAGTTATTTACAGAAAAGTGGAAAACATTTCAACAGTGTTTCTTTGAAATTAAGTGAGTAACGTATCAGAGATTTTTTTTTCAGAATCATCCAATAAAAATAGTTACTGTTTTTTTAGATTTATATTATATTTTCGAATGATCACAAAGTGAATCGTTATTCTGATTGTGATTGTTACTACAGGCCAGCGCTTTCTATCAATTTAAATGTGAACTAATTAAAAAAAATGCTTGCGATTTTATTTCAGTGCAAAACAACTTTCCATTAGTTCAATTTTCCTAAACATAAAATCTTTACGTATTTCTGGATAACATTAGATTCAGAACGTATACCTTTACTTTTCCTATTTATAAACTCTAGTTTGTATGTTTATTATATATTTAATAGTAAGACTATCTTACATACTTTGTAATACAGTATTGACATAGAGAAGTTAATGCTCAGTGTGCATGGAATCAGACCATGAATCACATTCTTTAAATGAGCATAGTGCAATGACCTGAATGCAACTATAAAATTCAGTGGTTTTCCAACTAATAAGATGAATAGCACATGTAGTGGCTGGATTAATTTAACTGACGGTCCTTGTTTACTAAGTTTCCTTAAATTATTGATTACTTTTTCATACATTTCTGATTACATTTTTTACAGGCTTTAACTTTTACAGGCTATAAAATGGATATCTTTATTAGAAAATCTCATATATTCCTTCACCCGTAATTTACATAAAATTGCTCATAAATTTTCAGTATGTAAAATGTCCATTCAATGTTTAAACTTCTCTCTAAAATTTTCTGTCACTTCAGAAAGCATGGATAAGATATATTTCATGGATAAAAGTACTGCAACAGAGGCCAGATCTTATCTGGAACATAAGTGAATCTAAGAGCATTGCGAAATAGCAATGTTATGTGATTATAAATGCCATTTTCTGACTTTATGGAATGTTTTACATTTATAGATGAACTAGAAATAAGCAGATCGAATTAGCAGAGTAAAACATATCAGTATAAATTTATGACTGCTTTAAAAAAGTTTTAGAACTGCAAAACTGAAATGATGATGCTTTGTTTGTGCGTGAACAGCAATGATTGCTTATTTGCTTACCAATAACTATGATTAATTTATACGAGTGATAATGGCCACGAATTTGAATAATTATAACCTTGGTATTTTTACAGGTTGCGGAGTCTGGACGTCCAGTGACAAGGTGACCTGTCTGAAAAATAATTATGCCGAAAAATAGGGCAGTGCCGTTTCTAATTAGTAAGTCTCTACATCTATTATTTTACGTTAAATATATGCCCATTTAAAAAATTTCTCCGTGACACGAGTGTATAGGAAACAGAGCAATGTCAGTCTGCTTGCTAAAGATTCCTGAAGGCCACATGTTGCCCTTGAAAACCAGCGGCTAACAACCTAGCTGGTACTGCTTATCCATTCATTTACTGCACATTTTAGAATTTTGTACATAATTTCTTTCCCATATACGTCTTCTTCATGGTTTAATTCTTTACTTAGAGACACATCAAGTGACGCATTTATATATTTGCTTTCTGATTACTATATTTCAGCATTTACTAAATTTTCACGTTGATTTTTTTTTAGATAACTAAAAAGTTTATCCTGTTGTTTGACCGAGACAGATTTATACGCTTGAGTTTATGGATCATTGCTTTGTATGATCTATATAATCCGATTTCAGAAAATCGTTACAAGATTCATTTTTTATTAGTAGTTTGCATTTCCGATTGTATACAATAATTTCTTGTCGTACGCGGCAATCAAATATCTGAGGATTAAAATAATAACGATTGCTAAATGTTTTTATACGGCACAAAAAAACCAGGCTAGAGAAACTTTTGAAAAAAATCGCATGACGTATTTAGCATTTCTTATCTTGATAACTCGAATGGTTAGCTGATTAATATCATTGAATATTTCTAGGCACATAATCAAAAATCTACAGGCATTTCAAAAATCTGAAAATATATAGCTTCTCTTAAGTAGCATAAAAGTTCTTGAAAATTCTGAAAATTTGCAGTTTTTCTTACATGTAATAAACGATTATTATGCTATTACATTTTATAATTTATTCTAAATGAATGAATTATTAATCAAACATTGTTTAATACGTTTAAAAATTTAAACTAAGATGCTCTGAAGCTATTATTGCTATATAAATAATTCTATGTGCTTCATTAGAAAAATCCCATGTTTCAGTCCTCTAAATTTTTTAGTGACAGTTGTAATTTCTCTGTCCTATTCAAAATAAAATAAAGTTTTTAAAAGCCTAAGTAAGAGCAAGCATGTGTAATTTCCAACTCGCTTTGAGAAGATGATTTTTATAGAACGCATGTTGATGCTCACTATAAAACTGAAAATTTTTCTTTCTACTAGCCAAAAGATGCAACAAATTGTATTACTCCTTACAAAACTTCTTGATACTCTAATTAATGTATATGTAATATTAAGTGGTACTTTTGCCGTTTCACCGGCGCAAATCTCGCCAAGCAGACTTTATTTGGCGACAACATACAGAATGCACATAAAAAATGTTAACAAATGTTAGTTCTAAGAATGTTTTATTTTGAAGGCATAAACATTTTAATATCGTTTAAAATTTTGTAAAAAATCCAATAAATAAAGACAATAAATTTGCGAAAAGATATTAATTTAAGAATTTATTATGCTTTCATGGTTCAACATCCCGATTCGCCTTTTCATATCACGTGACCCCAAGTGATCTCATCTCACGTAAACTACGCTACAAAAATCTAATTCTCTCAGTAATTATCTACGATAATTTCAAGTTAAATCTTAATTTGGAATAAAAGTTTAAATGCAAGAATTATTTCAATTCGTACGAATAGCTTACTCAGAAATTATGTAAAACCGCAGTGCTTTACTTCGCTAGTGCATTCTCATTAGAATGGATAAATTTAATCCTTGACTTTGACTTTTCTATATCGCCTTCGTGTGAGCGGTGTGATTGCATCGTAATTGACTTAATTACCGCGAATGGCCTTAGGGCGCTAAAATTAAACTATCTGGTAAAATTTCTATGTAACTGTATGCCAGTATTGAAAGAAACAATCAATCTGATAAGAAATGTCTGCGAATTGTTTTGAAAATGAGGCATAAAAGGTTACCAGCGAGGATATTACTTTTGGCATCAGTTGTATCATTATAAGCAACTTTAACGCCTGCATTGACAAAACGGAAAAGTGCCTATTAAGTATTAAATTTTTAAGGATTGTTGATATAGAATGACTTGGGTTTCTTTTTAGAACTTTGGTTCGCAATGAATAGAAAAGAAAAATACATAGCTAAATTAATTATTACTCAACTAATTATAATATAAAAATTTAACACATAAACTTGCATGCTTAGTGCTCTACTGTAAATGCCGATTATACATAAGCCCACCTATGGCCAAGTAGATATGGCCACTGAATAGTGAATGGATATACACTATTAAATGAGTAACACAAATAAGAACCAGTTTCCCTAAAAAGTCCTTCTCGAAGACATTTCTTCTTCTTGGGCTTTTCTACCTCATCTCCTTTGCCTTGAGCAATTAATCTAACCGATTATGTATATTTATTTCGGGCATTAAGATTTAGCTCAAATAATTATATATATATATCACTAATTATTGCAGCGATAATCAAGCCAGAATTTTAATGCTGCCATGTCTGCTCGCAGAAACATTTGGCGATCTTGTAGAAATGTAAGGATTATACTATCTTGAAGTTTCTGCAGAGCTGTAATTTGATACAAGAAAGTTTTGAAAAGAACAGTTGAATTACCAATTAAATAGTACTCTTCAGAGCTGATATGCATTTTCATTCCTAAGTAATTTATCTAAAGTAATTTGCGCATTGTTCCAGTAAACTATAATAATTAATCACTAAACTTCCTTTCTTTCCAAATACATCTTAAAATGATACAATTATATAAATAAGATAATATGTAACAGTAAATTTGTGTCCTAAACGCGATTTCTGGTATGTTTTTAAGCTGCCGTGTCTGCTCGCAAATCTATTATTTTACGTTAAATATATGCCCATTTAAAACATTTTACCGTGACACGAGTGTGTAGGAAAACAGAGCAATGTTAGTCTGCTTGCTTAAGATTCCTGTAGGCCACATGTTGCCCTTGAAAGCCAGCGGCTTAACAACCTAGCTGGTAATGCTTATCCATTCATTTTACTGCACATTTTAGAATTTTGCACATAATTTCTTTCCCATATACGTCTTCTTCATGGACGTAACCAGTGTGAAGAAATTGAAATTACTCTACAGAACTTTCTGCTGTAAAATTTTCTTAAAAAACTATATTTCGAAAAACAAAATGTGAACAATTTTGATAACAAACTGACACACCTTGATTCCTCTCAAATATTGTAACTCTGATAACAGGTACCTCGTATATCTGTCAGAAAACGAAAGCTAAATTTTTATAATTTCTTTCTTTTACAGATAAATAGTACTATCTTTGCTCCATAGAATTAGATAAATACGGATAAAAATAAGCATTTCAATTAGATTTAAGGAAATAATAAAATCGTGTGAGCGCTAAATGGCATGTACCCATATCATTAAGCGAAGAGCAAATTAGGTTTTCAAAAATTAGCATGTAGTGTTTTTTACTTTTGCTTAATATTGTATAATTTGAAAACTAAATGAACAAAAATTTAACAAAAAGAGGTCTATATGATCATTTTAATTTTTTAGATTTTTTAAACTTATTTTGTTAATTCGACAGCTGTCTAAAATCACAGATACAGCAAATTAGACGGAAGAATTATTTTGCATTTGATATACTTACATGCACATGCGTGTGTCTCAGCATTCGTGTGCTTTATGTTCCATTAAGCTAATATGGCTATTAAACTTTGCGTTACATTTTCTATATTATAGAGGCCTAATATGACACCATTGACTATCTCCGCATGTGTTATCTGTATTTATGTGTTATCAACGTATTAATTTTTATCCTTGAATATGTATCTGTAAGTATTAAAAAAATGTACCTTTTTTGCAAACAAAATAAAAGCCTTTTTTAATTTAATAGGGTTTTTTCCCAACGCTCTGAAGATTACTATTCGCTTTTGTTTGCAGTTCTAATAATCAGTATACCCAAAATGATAATTGAAAACAGATGGTCTGAACTAAGAAATCTAATGTGTTCTTAAATATTAACTTTTTTAACTTCACATAGATAATATAGTTTTAAACGTATTTTAACATTCAGTTTAAAAATATATATATATTTAAAATGCTTTTCTCCAAAAAACAAAATGTTATATTCAGTTCATATATTAGTAATTAATGGAGTAACCTTTGTTCATATATTAAACCTACGTGCAATGCACACAAATAAAGTTTATTAGTTACTGCGTGCATCTTTTACTACGTACAGGAAAAATTAAAATTCATTGGTTATTGCGTATAACTTTTACTACATACAAATGGAATAAAATTCATTAGTTACAGGGAAATATTAATTTGTTATGTGAAATTTGTCTAGGTTATTAAAATTATATGCTACACAGATCTATGAGTTAATGTCACTTTGTATTTATATTTCGAAGTGTAAGTTCTCAAACGTGGACAATAAATTTATGATTGCTCTTCTAAATTGAAAGCAAGTAGCATTTTTCATTTTATATAGACTTTCGTTCGTTTCGTTCGTTTCGTTTTATTCGTTCTTTTGAAAACGAATGGACTATTATTATTATAATTACTATCAAATACTAACATAAATATGTCTTTAATTTTTTATCAATTATTTAGGCTTGAATCCACATTATTTGGAATTTACCTTGAAGAAAATTTCAAAAAACGAAAAAGTATAGACCACCTAACTTGTTGTGTCATGCAGTATTTACTTTTTAATGTGCAGTTTGGGTTAATAGCTACATCAAAATAACCGTGTATGTGATAAAACATACTTTCCTCTCAACTGCATCTGAATATAGCCTTATATGAAATCAAAAATGCGTTTTAAATTAAACTTTTTAAAAATGTCTTGAAATTCTTGCAAAATGAATAGATTAAATGCATGGATAAACTGGTAAGCATAGATTATTTTATTATGGTAAACTATTTGGTCTAAACAATCCTTATAATGATGATTTCAAGAGGGGAGTGTTTTTCTAACGTGGACAAGCTTGCATTTAGAAAACACATAAGAAAGGCCAGTAAATCTCCGTTCAGCCATCTAAAATCAGCTGTCGAGATACGGGGTCGTGAAATCT